AATATATATATATATATATGTACATGCACATGTACGTGTATATATATGTATATGCTGGGAAAGAAGAAGAGAAAAAAAAAGACAGTAAGGAGACAAGGAGACAATAAAAGCAATAGAGGCGAGGCAATAAAGGGGAAAAGAAGACAGTAAATGGTACATAAAAAGACAATAAAAGGAGACAGTATAAAGGGACAAAAAGAAAAAGGAGACAATAAATATTTACGTACTTGTGATGCTCCTACAGCAGGAAGAAGAACAAGAGAGACAGCACCTGCTGCTACTCCCTTACCAACAGACTTTAGACCAGAAGAAAGTCCAGCACCTATACATCAATAAATAAATAAATAAATAAATAAATAAAATTAACTAATTAATTAATGTAGATAAAGAAAAAGGATTAATGTATTCTATTTATTTATTTATTTATTTATTTATTTATAGCTATATTAATATTTACAATGAATATTAATACTAACATTAATGAATAAATAAATACAAATATAAACAAAAAAAGTAAATATAAATATAAATAAATAAATAAATAAATAAATATACCTGCATCCTTAGGTTTCCTAGTAGAGAATAATCCCCCCATGACGCTCTTATCGGCTGTTGGCGAATTCTCTCGTAATTCGCTCGTCTTCTTTACGGGCACCAAGGACCACACTGTATATACACCGCACAAACCCTAAACCCTAAACCCTAAACCCTAGAAAATAATAATATAATAATAATAACATAAGTAAGTACTAACCAAATATACAAAATATAAATAACCCTAAACCATTAACAATCACACACTATCCTAAACCCTAAATAATATCTAAACCCTAGCAACCCTAAACCCTAAACCCTAAACCCTAAACCCCTGTTCACACCGGAGAGTTGCACCAAACAACATAATCCACATTGAACCCGCAAACTTCTAAACAATAAGAAAGGGTTTAGGAGGGTTAAGGGTTTAGGGTTTAGGGTTTATGAGTCCGTACTCTTAGAGTCATATTCTCCTTCTCCTGGTCCTCCTTCTTGGGGTTTATGATGTGCCCTTACACGCGAACCCTTAGGAGAATGCATGCTGCTGCTGACGCTTCTGTTGTGGCTTGAACCCTGCTGCTGCTGCTGCTGCTGCTCGTTAGAGCCGTCCGAACCGGAACTCTGGACGCTGCCTTCCTGCTGCTGCTGCTGCTGCTGCTGCTCAGGAGAACTCTCCCCTGCTCCTGCTCCTGCTGCAGCATCTTTACCTGAATTCCCTCCTCCCCAGCGACCTGGAGTTCTGACCCCTCCTAAGGCGCGACGCATCTTGGGAGGTTGAGGTGTACGTACACCTCAGATGTGCATGCATGCAGCGTGCTGCTGCAGTTGGTTGTTGCTGACTACGTCACACAAACGGATACGATTCCTCCTGTTGCTGCTGCTTCTGCTTCCACTGATGCTGCTGCTGCTGTTGCAGGTTGCTACTGCACTGGTTTTGCTGCTGTTGTTGTTGCTGCTGTTGCTGCTGTTGCTTCTGCTGCTGTTAGTTGTATTGGCAGGCACGCACTGGCGCGTCGCGGGTCAAGAGAAACAGACGAGATGAGTCTGCTGCCAGCAGCAGCAGCAGCAGCAGCACAAGCTGCGTATACACCCGAGACAAGTGCAACAACAAGGCAAGGAGGCAACAAGAAAGCCTCCTAATGGAAACACGCGGTGTACGTGTCTTTAAGGAAGAGGAAAAGAAAGCCTTTAAAAGTAGCAATAAGAGAAGATAAAGAAAAGGGGAAAATAAATTATTCACCCACGGGTCCTGTCTGTTAGCTGTAGCAGTAAACGGCCCAGCTACTGGTGCTGCTGCTGCTGCTGCTGCTGCCGCTACTGCTGCTGCTCCTGCTGCACCCGCTATCCAAGAGCTCTAAGAACGTAGCAACCTCCTTAACGACAAACAACAGGAGAAAAAACACCAACTTGCTCTCCATCTAACGGTGAAGAAGCTTCGTCGCTACAGAGGCTTCGCGAGGAGCGCATGCAACAGCAGCAGAAGCAGCAGTAGCTGCAGCAGCAGCAGCGGTGCTCGCCAGCACAAGGAAGACTTGTTGCTGTTGCTTCCAGCGGATTCTTTGCACTTTTCTCCTCTTTTTAACTTATTTAAACACTATTGTGTAATTAACAAACTAATGATAATATAAAGAAAAAGGTCACTACTGGGAGGGGCCCCCCGTCATGGCGACACACTTACCCCTTATGGCTGTATATACACATGGAGAAGCGCTGCGGTGTGCTGTTTCTTCTTTTTTGTTTGTTTTTCTCAGCACTTTATATTCATTTAAATTATTTAATTAAATAAATTCGCGTAATTAGTCTAAAATGTGCAGTGTGGATGCTCGTTTTCCTCCGTTGTCTTGGGGCTGTGCACTTTAATGCACCATGATAAGGCATGTCCTTAGGAACATTTATTAAGGAGGCAACACATAAGTAGCCAGATAATTAATTAAGAAAAAGATATAAGAGTTACCTAATACCGTTAACCTCCCCTCAGTCTACAGGGTCCCTGGATACAGCGGCACTGCAGAGACGAGGCAAGAACAACTTACAGGGATTGCATGCAGCACACACTGCCATTAACCCATATTTTACGACACATCTGCATGCACATGCATAATACGAATTCCTCCCTTAAGTGCATGCACTATTTCCTTAGTGTGTCGCTAAATATTTGCTTGGCTATCACCGAGCTAGCTGCATGCCTACTGGATAGAGGGCACTAGGACTTGGAACAAGTTCGAGTGCCCTCTGTCCGTGACCTACAATGCAACCAAGATAAAAAGTACGAATTCCTTAAAAGCAGTCACTGCCCCACCTCCCAAGTCTGCACAAGTCCTGAGCTCAGCTGTCCAAGTGCGCGGAGCAGCAGTAGAGGAGACGCCTTGTCTTGACAGTTGTTGCAACACAGCACTCCTTTACTCAGGGGACAAAACACGACCCCCATACAAACATCATCAGGCATACTCAGCTGTATGCACGAACACGAACACTGTAGACCATTGGTAGAAACATCCTCCCTCATGCCTTTTGCCTACTAGGGCAGGGGACCGCTCCTTGCTCACTGGCTGTTGCTGCAGCGCTTCTTCCCCCGACTCTCGTTGCTCCATCTCTTACTACTGCGTATCCTGTTGAATCAATTGCTGCTGCATCTCTTGCTGTTGTACTGCTTGATGTTGGATTCAATGCTGCTCGGGCCTCGGGTTGCCGTGTGCACCTTTATTGTTTATAGACAGCCCGGGAGTCGGTCCACCTGCGTGTGCATATATGTTCGTTCTCTTCTTTTATATCCCCTGCATTTCTTTTTTCTTGTTGTTTGTAAGCAACGTGTGTTTACCTAGCCATTGGTGTGCATCTGGGCTGTGTGTGCGTGGGCCAGGATAGACGGCCCAATGGGGTGTCTGAGATGGGCTAACAAGCTGGGTCTGTGTTGCTGCCAGCCTCTTCAAGCCTCTCATCCTGTCTACCGGCTGTTCCACTCCCCTCGGTAGGAACCAATTACAGCACCACTTGGCGTCACCTCTCTCTCTCTCAACTGCTGGTGCACGAACAGAGCGGAAGTCACACCTGCACTCCGGCTATTTCCTCCATGGGTATCTGTAACTCATGCAGTTACTGAGACAGGCCCTGCTGCAACTTTTGTGCTGCTTCCTCCGTTACTGCTGCGACTGTTTGCTGCCCTAACAATTTAAGAGCAACAATAGCAACACCTGTGTCCAGATTACACCCCCGCCCCGCCCCTATCCCCCCCGCCCCCCTAGCAGCTCGCATATAACTATCTTAGCCGCATGGGCTCCTGTAGGGTGTGACGAATGTTTTCGCCCTTTGGACAGACATGTCATGAAATGCAAACGAGTTACTAAAGACTCTCCTCCGTGGATTGTAGCGCCACAAGGCAGTCATCTCTCCCCGTCTCCGTGCTACCTGTAGGCTAGGGCGCACGGGCATGTGGCTCGTAAGGAGGGGCCTATGCCTTTTACACGCTGCTTATCATTAGTCGTGTTGCTCGTTGTTGTATAACTCTCGCTGCCCTGTGTACCCTATCCCGTCGGGTGTCGTCAAGTGTATCGGCGGGTGGCGCGCGAACCCTTGCACGGACCCAGCAGACAACCGATTCCCAAAGGGATCTTTTAGTAACTGTATACAGTATTTGTGCATGCAGCAACTACGGTTGCGTTTGTATGCATAAGGAGTTGTTTTGCTGCTTAAGTTGCACCAAAATGAGCTGCAACTCACAGCTGGCTGCCCTCTGCACCCGAGCACGAGGAGAGAGAGCGACCGCGCCCGGGGTGGTTGAAGAGGGATAAGGGGGTTAAGCTGCCTTTAACGGACTTCCTTCTTGAGCATTTTGACTTAATTCATAATTGGAATAATTATAAGACAAGATCAAGAGCCCTCGTGGTACTCGCTAACCCCACATGCACGACTACCACTAGTACCTTAGCCTCTTTCTTATGCATGCAAGAACATAGAGAATAATTGTTAAACACCTAATAGGCAATTCATAATCATATATCATGCAAGGATAAATGCCTAAAATAAGCCTTAGACAGACTATGTAACATGGGCGCTTCCTATGAACTACGACGGCTTTCAAGGAAAAAAAGCAATAAATGAATATACAAAGAGTGAGGAGGGTTTAGGAGTAGGAAGGAAAGGGTAAACATAAAAAATAAAGACAGAGATTAACAAACAAATTGAGGTGTATATACACCTACAATGAACAGCCGCGCACTTGGCGGCGTTTGTAAAAAGCCCCCCGACTCGAAAGCATGCACTGTAGGAAAGCCCTAAACACTAGACCCTAATCCCTAAACCCTAAACTGTCGACTGTAAACCCTCGTAGGGTTTGTCCGGCTGTTTGCCGTTCGATTTGGATTGTTTTGATGGATTTTATGGATTTAATTGGCCAAAATGGATGAAATGCGAGGTGAGCAAAGTAGAGGTTCCTCGGGTGTCACTGCAGCTACAAGAGCTGCAGTGACACCCGAAAGGCTCCCCTTGTTTTTCCTCTTTTTCTTTCATATTTTTGCCATTTCTTGCCGTGAGGCTTCCTACGGGCCCTTGCTGCCTGCTGATGTACTCCTTTTCCCTCCTAAGGAGTGCCTGCAGTCGTGCTGCGGAGGGACAGATGCTTAACTTGCTTCTTTTTCTTTTCTTGAGGATACAGCACTCCTTTTTATTCATATTTATTGCATATTAAACTTCACAGGACGTCTAAAGCGACCGCCACTCGGGCGCATGCGCAGCGGCTGTAGTATGGTTGAGCTAGCGGGGCTTCTTACTGGGTACCAGGGAACCCCTAGGGTTTGGGGTTTAGGGTTTAGGGTTTTGCTCGTGGGGTCGTGGGTTGCTGCGCAGCGACGCTTGACTCCCTTATGGGGAGGGACCGTAACGAGTACGGTGCGAACGCGAAGAAGGGCGCGTCTTTTAAAGCGGAAACAGTGAGTAGGGTTTAGGGTTTAGGGTTTAGGGTTTAGGGTTTTCATAGTGTTAAACTCAGAAGCAGCGGCAAAAACAGCAATTATTTATTTTTAGGGTTTAGGGTTTTGCTTGTTTCCTCAGGTCTGCAAGTTCTTTTTGTTGGACTTTTGTCCGCATGATCTTTTTCCCAACACTCGCGTCGATCTCGGCCCGTAAGGGTTTAGGGTTTAGGGTTTATGGTTTTTTTTAGGCATCATTCAAGTATTACTCTCGGAAACTAAGAATACAGCTCCTCTAGGGTTTAGGGTTTAGGGTTTAGGGTTTATGCTGTGGGGTTTATGCTGCAGATGCGACAGAGAGCACCGCGCAGACCTCAAAGTTGCCTTCGAGGCAGATCCAGAGAGAGAGTTCTATCAGGCCCTCTTCGAGCAAGAATTCGCACGTAGGGTTTAGGGTTTAGGGTTTAGGGTTTGGGGTTTTAGGGTTTGGCACTGTTTTCGGGGATCTTGGGATATAGGGTTTGTTAGGGGTTGTAGGGTTTAGGGTTTGGCGTTGGCCTCTGGTATCTGGGGATATAGGGCTTGTCCTAGGTTCTAGGGTTTAGGGTTTAGGGTTTAGGGTTTATCCTCAGGCTACCTACAACGTTTGGTAGATCAGATGGAGAACAGAATAAAAAGGGTTCAGCAGCGTATAGATGCAAGTAATCAGCCTGTTGAGTTGAGCAAAGAAAACGAAGAGAGGTAAACCCTAAACCCTAAACCCTAAACCCTAAACCCTAGTTAATCAGGATCGTTAACACAGGCTGATCCAATCCTGTCCACCTCGTTCTTGAACTGCAAACCCTAAACCCTAGGTCACGCTCCCGGTTGCCTGCTTGTAGCTGCTCTGTTTGCCTCTCGGGTTTAGGGTTTAGGGTTTAGGGTTTGTGTTGCTTATTGTAGGGTCAATGCAATGAACGCCGAGATATCCGAACTTCTAAAACAGCAAGATGAAGCAGGATCGAAGGTTAGCTAGGGTTTAGGGTTTAGCTAGGGTTTAGTTAGGGTTTAGGGTTTGGCCCTGTTTGTTCTTGATGATGCAGTGGCGGTCTGCTGCGGTTCAAGAAAGATGAGCCCCTGCTTCGGACTGTAAGGTTTAGGGTTTAGAAATTAGGGTTTAGGGTTTAGGGTTTAGGGTTTAGCGTTGATGTGTTCAGGGTGACATCGACGCTGCCGAGAAGCTGAATGAGAAGGTGGCGTTCCTACAGCGGGAAGTATCCAGGTTCGTGAATCCTAAACCCTAAACCCTAAACCCTCGACCTGGTAGATTTGTTGCGTTTGCTAGGGTTTAGGCGAATGAGGGTTTAGGGTTTAGGGTTTGAAAGTTCCTTTTTGCTACAGGCTGAAGAACCCCAACGCAGATATCGCCACTATACGCGAATCTCAGTTGCGGGTACGTCATTATTTTAATTGAGGGTTTAGGGTTTAGGGTTTAGAGGGTTTAGGTTTGTCGTCGTCTCCTTGGAACGGATTATGCCCCTGTTTAGCACGAGTTAGGGTTTAGGGTTTAGGGTTTCGTGTTTATTGATGGTATATAGACACGGATTGTTAACTCCAATAAGAAAGATGAATTAGTGTTATATGTATGTATATATACACCATATCAAAATTTCCAAAAATTAGGGTTTAGGGTTTAGGGTTTAGGGTTTAGGGTTTAGGGTTTGTGATATAGGTATGCGCTACATGCGGAGCGATGCAATCAACGGGAGACGCTATGTGTCGATTTGAATCGCATGTATCGGGGAAGCAGCATCGAGGTTGCGAGAAAATAAGGAATAAATTAGCGTCATTAAAGGAGACAGAAGGAAAAAGGGAGGAAATACTAAAGAAATATAAGGAAAAAAAAGAGACAGAAATTGCTGCTGCTGATAGATTAACAAGAAGAAGAGAACAAGGACAAAGAGATAAAGAAGAAAAAGATAATAATAATAATAATAATAATTATAATTATAATAATAAACAACAGGAGACAGATGATAACAGGGTAGGGACACATAGATATAAATATTCATCAAGAGACAATCATCATCATCATCATCATCATCATTCTTATGATAGAAGAGACAGAGACAGGGAAGGAGAGAGGGGAGGGAGAGGGGATAGGGGAGGAGACAGGAGAGATAGAGACTATAGAGATAGATATTATAGGGATAGGGACTATAGGGACAGAGACAGGGATAGGGATAGGGATAGGGACAGATATAGGAGCGGAGACAGAGATAGATCTCGTTATAGTTCTAGTTATCGATCCCGGGATCGATCCCGGGATCGATCCCGAGATGGTCATAGATCTAAGGATCGGGATCGGGATCGATCTCGATCCCGGGATCGGGATCGATCCAGGGATCGGGATCGATCCAGGGAAGCAAGGCACCGCAGCAACGGATCAAGGCACAACGAAATACACAGAGACACTACAACTGCAGCAGCAGCAACAACACCTAATGAGAATAGGGGAGACCCTAGAAATGCTCTACAATCATTCGTGCATGCAGCAGCAGCAGCAGCACCCCGCAGCAGCAGCAGCAGCAGCAGAACACCGCATCACGAATAGTTCCTGTGGGGTTTATTTCTTTTGCATTTGTTATAAAAAGACGCTAACTTTATTAATCTTTATTTATATTCAATTTATTCCTTTTTATTGGCTGTCTCCTCCCTCTCCTTTCCTTCTTTCCGTGTCTCCTCCTTTGCACCTAACTGTCTACTTTTATACTACTCTCTTTTTGTCTCCTTTTGTCTCTCCTCTCTGCATGCATCTCTCTGCATGTCCTGTTTGTTTGTTGTTTATAATTGTTCTTCTTGCCTCATCTGCTGTTGTGTGTCTTTGTCTCTTTCTCCTTGCTGCTTTTATCTGCCTATTTATTTATTTATTTATTTATTTATTTATTTATTTATTTTCTTCTTTTGTTATAATTTATTAAACTCCTAAAAGGAGTTTAATAACCACCATACGATGGCCCTACCCGGCTAAACCCTAAACCCTAAAAAACCCTAAACCCTAAACCCTAAACCCTTATAATTTAGAATGGATAATTAATTTTAGATCTGTTCAAATGTGCCGAAGCAAAACAAATTTGCCAATTACAGCCACGGCTGCTGCTGCAGCTCAAACTGCGGATCAATTGTTGCTAATTGCACACACTTGCTGCTGCTGCTGCTGCTGCTGCTGCTGTTGTTGTTGGTGCAACAGCAGCAGCTGCTGTAGCAGCACTCGCTGCCATTGCAGCACGTGCTGCAGCAGCAGCAGCAGCAGCAGCAATTAAGTGTCAGCGGATAACTAATCACTCCTCGTTAGGGCAGATGACGTCGTCAATCTTAAGAATCATCTTAACCACCTGATCACCATGCACAACACCACAAACCCTAAACCCTAAACCCTAATTTCGTAAATAAACAGTACGGTATAAGAGACTGCAGCAACACTGTATATATACAGAGTTCCTCCTATGCCTTCTTCCCTCGATCTCTATGTAGTAGGGGTACAAGCTGCATTCTTCACTCTTCACGGTTAAAATTAGGGTTTAGGGTTTCTAGGGTTTAGGGTTTCTAGGGTTTAGGGTTTACCTGGGTAGCGAGGAGAATTTGCTGCTTCTTAGAAGCCAAGGGTTCCCACACTTGCTGCTGACGCATATCATTCGTTCCCTGCACAATTATTCACCCCTATACAACGAATTAGGGTTTAGGGTTTAGGGTTTCTTGCAAGACCCCATATGCACAAAGATATGCCAATTAATATAATAAATTAAATAAATTAATTTAAATAATTAAATAAACAGAAAAAGGAACACAAGGAATACAAAAAAGAAAAACATGAATAGTGCAACAAAGTGCGTGCATAGTACATCATCAGCAACATTATGATTTTCTTTGCTTTCCCCATAAATAAATAAATAAATAAATAAATAAATAAACAAATAAATAAGGATAAATAAGCAGTTAATTGCATGCAAATGCATGCAGCCCTTACTTACCGTTTGCATGCAATCGATGCCATAATAAGGACAATTATGTTCTTGTTGCATAGCCTTTATCCTTTGTACCTCATGAATAGGACTAAGTCCTGAATTAGCAGCAAGTGCCTCAGGTAATCCAAGTAATGCATCAGCAAATGCCCTAGCAGCATATTGACTAACAGAGGAAACATTTTTATCTGCTTTCTCCTCTACTGCTCTTGCTGCTGCTATTTCTGCTGCTCCTCCTCCTGCTATTACCCTACCATCACGTACTAATGCACTAACTACGCATAATGCATCATGTACAGATCTCTCTGCCTCTGCTACTAACATCTGGGTACCACCGTACAATACCAAGGTTACAGCACGTGAATCCTGGCAACCTGCAGCACAACAACAGCAGCAGCAGCAGCAGAATAATAATAAAATATATAAATAATCTTCTTGTATTTATGTACTGTTTATGTTTATAGCAACAACAACAACACCAACAACAACAGCAACAGCAACAGACCCCTATATACCCGCAAGAGCAGAAACAATAACAACAACAACAACAACAACAACAGCAGCAGCAGCAGCAGGAGCAAGAGCAGCAGCAGAATTAATTACCTTGAATAATGATCATTTTATCTCCCATGGTACCAGATGGTACTTCTTTAACTAATTTAGCTTTCCCTAATTTATTACTAGTTAATTCTTGTGCCCTAGGTACTATTCTTCCTTGTGTAGCTATAGCCACCATTTCTATCTCTACTCCTCCTACCCAACGAACTGCAGGAATATCTGCTGCTAATAATAAATGATTTGCTTCGTCATCAAAGCCCCATTGACATATTACCTGTATATATATATACACATAGATACATTATATATATATATATATATATATATATATATATATATA